GGTGGATTCTACCCTTGCTGGAGGCATCCGTGGGGACAGGGAACCCAGGGGACCCTCGTGGGCTGAGCTACCCTTATCAGACCCATTCTCCAGATGAGAAGACGGACGCCGAAGTTGTCTCTTGTACCTTTTGTGCAGGTGGGAGGGCTGGAAAGGAACGGCCTGCCCACCCGCCTGTCCGTGTGTCTGTCTGCTGGGAGAGCTCGCATCTGTGTCCCCGGGAGCCCACATCTGCCCAGCGGCCAGTCCACACGCATTTCTGAGTGGCGGTCCCCACGAGGAATGTGGGCCCATGGTCCCCAGATTTGATTTTTAGAGAGAAGCCATCAATTCAGCTATTTATAGGAGATCTCCACTTTGAAGACGTTGGCTCAATTTCTCTTTAAAAGCGTGCTCAGGTGGCCTGGAAGCTGCTGGTGGGCTGCACTGGGCCGGGGCCCAGCAGCGCCCCCTGCAGCCGCCTCTGACGCCAGGCCCCCTGCCCCGCTGGCTTCCGCCCTCAAGGGTCTGCAGGGTCTCCCATCTTCCGTCCGAAGGAGGGCTGGCCGACCTGGGGGGGCGGGCTACATGGGCCCCCAGGCAGGGCAGCTGAGGGAGGCCAGGCCCTTCTCACCTCAACCACCGGGGAGAGTCTGCGGTAGGCACCTGACCTCCTGTGCTCTCCGAGGCAGTCGCGAGGTGGTTCTGGGAGGTTCCGAGGGGGGGTCCCACAGCGGGCCCTGGGTGCCAGGGCGCTGTCCCTGCTCCCACTCCTGCATGCTGGGATCGCCACCTGAAACACCAGCTGGCACCCACGGCCTCGTCTCTGGCTCTGCTCTCAGCATTCTTCAAGCTGAAAACAACGGGATTTGGAATATATTAAACAAAAGTAATTGGAGGTGTGACAAGTGCCAAGAAGGAAACCAGTGGAAGCTGGTAGAAGAGAGCAGGGGGCTGACTCTGGGAAATGGGCTCTGGCAGGTGACAAGCGTGCAGTGCTGGGGTGGCCGTGGGCGTAGCTGCTGCAGGTGCCCAGGTGGGAGAGGGTCGCCGGGAAGGAAGGTGGGTGCATGGGGCCTGTCCCGGGAAAGGGCTTGGGTCTTCCAGATGTGGCTGCAGTGCGGGATGGAGCGTGGCCAAGGCTCGTTCTCATCTTGACTGCCCTTCGGTCACCTGAGGGCCGTACAAGGACTCTATGGCTCAGCCCCACCCCAGAGGCGCTGGCTCGAGGCACCGGAGAGGGGCCTGGGCATCGGGTACTTTCCAAAGCCCCTCCTTGCCTCTAGCCAGGCTGCTGCTAAGGACTTCCAGCAAGGTGCCCCCAGGCCAGGCCGGGTGTCGGGTGCTCGGCTTACTTGTCCCCACCATACCACCGAGGCCACTGCCAGGGCTAGTCCCGGTTTACCCATGCGCTCAAGGCCGAGTGGCTGAGGAGTAATGGTGCAGGGACCTGAACCTGGTCTGCTGGCTCTGAAGCCACTCGGTCCTGCGTGAGGCTCTGTTGGAGGCAGGGATGTATCAGCAGCAGCTATTCCAGCTCGGACACCTGGGGAGGGTGGGGGGACACAATTTCTAATGGCGGCAAAGTAGAGCCCTCAACTGCTCCTGTCCTTGTCAATGGGCCCTGGCAGGTTCTTTCAGAGGTCTCTGGCTGGCCTTGGGAAGGCCTGGAAGACACCAGACCGAAGACAAATAGGATGAGCTTCGAGGCCGGAGCGATGGGCACAGACACATGAATGGAACTGGGGCTTTGGGAATTTGGGACTATGTCCAAGAAAGGCTCCACCCATCCATCCATCCAACACACATTCAGAGACAGCCCACAGCAGCCGGGTCCTATCCACAGCCTCGGGGAGACTGGGTCAAATAAGACACAAGCCTTGCCTTTAGGTGAATCTACTGGAGAAGGAAGATGAAAAAAAACCCACAAAAAACACAAAAAACCAACCCAAAAACCGGAACGCATGGCTGGCACCACCTGTGACCTATGATGTGTGTGCCAAGCAGCATCCGCATCTGGTGGCCTGGAGATTTTAAGGCGTCCAAGGACACACACTTCCAAAACGGAGTCCCAGACTGAGCCGCTGCTTCTCTTGGATTAGCCCTTCCGATCCTATGAGACAGGAAGTCTCGGTTGGGTGCTCACAGGTCTCGAACACTCGCTGGTCTCCCAATTAGAGAGACAGGGCAGGCCTTGGGCCCGGAGCCCATGGCCAGTAATGGGAGGTGGTGCGGATTTACTTGTATCGTACGTACTTGTACGGGACCTTTAATTCCTGGCAAATATAGTGGGTTGAATGGTGACTCTCCCCCACCCCCAAAAGATGTGTCCCCGTCCCCACCCCCAGCACCTGGGAATGTGAGCTTGTTTGGAAATAGGGTCTTTGGAGATGTAATGCTGGATCAGACGAGGTCCCAAATCCAACGACTGGCGTCCTTCTAAGAGAACGGAGGTCTGACATCGGGGGACAGAGGGAGGAAGGACTGCGTGAAGACACACGCAGAGACTGGAGTGAGGCGGCCACATGCCAGGACGGCCAGCAACACCAGAAGCCAGGAGGGAGGCAGGGAACAGATGCTCCCTCTGAGCCCCCAGAGGAAACCAGCCCACTCGACCCCTTGATCTCAGACCCCTGGTCTCCAGAGCAGTGGGAACACATTCGTGTTATTTTGAGCCGCGTGGTTTGTGGTCATTTGTTACGGTGGCCCCGGGAAACACACACAGCAAGTGGGGCTGGTTTTGTCTTTTGGTTTCCAGTGGTAAAGTCTTTCCCTTTTTCAGCACATTGAATTTATAAGGTCAGTCAAGAGTCGAGGGAGTGATAGCTCATGTGTGTTGAGGCGGGCACCGCCTGGAGGGAAAGCGGGGTGAGCCAGGTGGCGTGGGGCCCGGGAGCAGGGTGGGCTAAGGGCCATGGCGCTCAGGTTCTGGGGTGGGTGAGGTGCCTGGAGGGCAGGGGGGGCCTCTAGCTGCCCCCCTCTTGCACCCTCGAGTAAATTCCTGGGAAGCCCCACGCGTTCCCGTCTGGGTGATTCAGACCTCTCTTCCTTAGGAGAGGCGCTTCAGATGGGGAGGGTTTTTTCCCACCGCTCTCAAGGGCCACGAGGTGTCGGGACAGGAGGGAAGGGGGTTTCCAGCAGGCGGTCGCCGGGAAGCCGTCTTCCCTGAACATGGGACCCAAGGTCTTTTGCTGGCAGGATGCTGCCCGCCCACTCTCACCTGCTCCTCCACCTTCCAGGTGCCATCAGAAGATGCAGGGACAGGCCGGACAGGCACCTGCACCAGGGTAGACCCCTGCAGGCCTCAGCTCCCGGCGGACTCCCACCAGGCACTAGGTGGCCCCTTCTTGCCCTGTGAGGGCACACAGTGCTCCGGGTGAAGCCCCTGAACCTGGTGCGGGTGCTTCCCAGCCTGCCTTACAGACAGGAACCAGGGACTGGGAGAGCAAAGTGACTCGTCCCAGGCCACCAAGCAAGCCCAAGGCCTTTCCCAGGTTTGAGCCTGGGCTGGGAGGGGGGCGGGGGAAGCCATCACGGAGGGTGTCATGCCCAGAGCTCCCCAGCCCCCTGCCCTGAGCTGAGCCCTTTGCCTGTGTGACTCCCTCTGGCCTCACGACCCTCAAGGCAGGCTCAGTCCTGTCCTTACTTTGCAGACGAGGAGATCCAAGCACAGGCAGGTGACCTGGCAGTGGCCATGGCTGCAAGGCTGTTGAGTGCCAGAGTCTGGCTCCAGATTCTGCCCTGTGAAGAGAAGCCGGCATTTCCCGAAGAGCCGGGAGGCAGAAGAGGAAAGAGCCACCCCTCTGGGGCCACATGCGCCGCGCAGAGGGCCTTCAGCCAGACTACATCTCAGGGTCTCGGGGACTAGCTCTAGGGAAGGGCATGGCTGTGATTGTGGACAAGCGTTCCAGATGGTTCCAGCACCCGTTCACCTGAGAACTATGGCTTCACCTCCTTCTTCCTGTGAACAGCCCGAGGACACTTGGCCCAGCAGGCAAGGTCTCAGATGGCGTGGGCAGCACAAAGCACAAGGGCCTGGGCTTACACTCCAGGGCCCTTGGGAAGGTTGCTGAGCCCCACGGGGCCTCCGTTTCCTCATCTGCATTGCCGGCCCCTGCCCTTCGCCCCTCACTCCCGTGCCTGTCTCCACAACCCAGGGGTCTGGCCCTTGGCTGGCCCAGAGACCCCCTCTGGAGGGAGCCCCCAAAACCCGCTGTCCCCAGTTCTGCCCCCTGTGAGGCCTGTCTTCTCCCTTCTCCCGGAGGATCCTTCCAGCAAGTTCCTTTTTCTAAAGTGAAGTCACCGAAACCTGTGCATGCCCACGTGCCTGCAAAGCAGGGCTACTCTGGGGATGGGTGAGGCGGCAGCCCCATGCCTCGTGGGCAGACTTCCAAGGAACTGAGCCCCACCCTCCGCAGTGGCCTCCACCTTCTGCCATAAACGCCTCAACTGCTGGCACGAGGCCAGCGTCCCGTTTATGTTCTGGACTCAGTTTAGGTTTTACCTCAAGGCCCAGAAGGTCTTGCCTGTTTCTGGGCCGGGTTTAAGCTGGAGAACCTGTGAACCCATTTCCAGGGATTTCCGGAGCTCAGGCAGGTGCATGTCAATGTGTTCCGGAATGGTGCCTGCCCAGGACAGACTTCACTGGACTCTGTCCCCGGTGGCGAGCCCTTCCCACTTCCCCCGGCCCAGCGGCATGTGCAAACAATGATGCTGAGGCTCCCTGTCCCCGGCCCTCCTGTGCCAGGCCCCATTCCGCAAGTGCAGAACCTGAGGTTTGGACGGAGAGCCCCCTGCACCTCGCTGGGCATGGGGCACCTTCTGAGTGCAGCCAGCCGCCCCTGGGCTCTCCCAGCCCGGGTCCACCCCCTCCCAGGAGCCGGCGGATACCTGGCCCGCGGTGGGTGCAGGTAGAGGCCCAGCTGCCGCAACGGGCCACGGGCTGAGGCTGCAGAGAACCTTCCTGTCGCCGGGCCATGGCCTCCCTACCACAGTGCCACAGAGCAGCACCCACATTCCTGGTAACTTTCTCTCTTTTATTGCCAAGTTCAAATTTACCAGGAAGTTCCAGTTTTCATTTCCACCCTCATGTTCAGTGCCCACAGAACATGAGTCATGCTGGCAAGAGCGGGTACTTCCCTGGAATGGTCCCTTGGCCCAGAAGCGTGAGGGCTTCCCAACCCCTGCTCCTCCTTGGGACAAGAATTATTTATCTATTTTCACCTCAGGGGGAACGAACATAAGGAAGCCTGATAGTTTATACCCAATGTCAACATGACTACATTAAGTATTTCTTATTTATTGCATCTAGAGAAGAAGGTGAGAATCAGTTCACGCCGTGCCTTTATTTCTAACAGTGCATCGTGAGACCTTAGAGAAATCTAGTGTATGTCTTTAACGAGGTAGGTCTCTTCACTCCCGCCCGGGCTGGGGGTGGGGGGCAGCTGCCTTCTGCAGAGAGTAGGGAGCCCCAGACAGGCTGGGTGGAGGGAAAGGGAGCAGGGAAGGCCTGCAGTGGTGGACGCCCTCCTCCCGCCCCTCCCTGGGATGGCATCTCTGCCCCACATGCTTGCTGGGGCTTTGGGGCTAGTGCTGGAGAGCTCCCGGCCTCACCCCGTCTGACCTTCAGCAAAAGGTGCCCTCGCTCACTCGAGCCCCTAGACTGGAAGGACATATGCATCTGAACACAGTGTTCAAAGCTGAGGTCTGAGGGTTCATGTGGCCAACCCTGCCCCTGACTTGGCAAACCCAATGGGCCCAATGGACTTGAGGAGGGTGGGACGTGGAGACAGACGGTAGGCCACGTGGGCTTGCCGAGCTTGGCCCCAGAAATCTGAGCCCAGGAGGGCACGGTCCCCACTCCTGCTCTGCAAGGACTCACGGCTCTACCTCTCTTTGCCCGGCCCCAGAGTCCTGGCGCACCCTGTCTGGGCTGGCCTGCCTCGGAGAGCCCCTGCTGTTAGGTTTGCGGGGTGCTCCCGAAGATACAGCGTGCCCACGGCCACCATGATGGTCAAGACCTAGCAAGGCAGGTCCTTCATCAGAGTCAAGACGGCTGCTGCCTCCTGTAGACCCCAGACCTTCTCATACAAGGACGCATGCATTCTCCTCACCTGCAAGGTGACAGGGAGCCCCTGGTTAAGGAAGTCCCCACCCCATGCCCAAAGGTGTCCTGCTGGGGCAAGCTGCAGGACCCACACTGCAAGCCCACCTCCGGGGCACGCCTGCCCTTGGCAGGTGGCACGTTTTGTTCAACTCCACCCTCCGGGTCTCGGCAATGCTGCCGCAGGACCTCCCGCCGTGCTGTCCCCAACTCCTTCAGTGCTCGGTGGCCATGGAGCCGCTGGGAGCCACTGGATTTCAGAGGGCAGGCTGGTGGTCCTGGAGGGGGGCCTGTTCTTTACAATAATGCCACCGGGCTGGGTAGTTACTCGCCTTCCGTCATTTCTGCTGCCCCAGAGTCCCTGCAAAACCAGAGCGCCAGCCTGCTCTTCTATCCAAGCAAAGGATCCGGTAGGATGGGTGGCTGGCTGCAGACCTCTGCAGCTGATGACATGCCCTTTCTCGTCAGGGACCGCCTGACCCCTTCTTCCAGCCCACCTGCCTCTCCTTGCTGCGGGGCTCTGTGAATGGTCACGGCTCATCCCTCCTGCTGAGGCCTCTGAAATTTCTGCCGGCACGCCTCCTTCTCTGGGCTGGGTCTCTTCCCCGTTGAAGCGGGGCGGGCACAGCTGCGCAGAGGGCTTCTGCTGATGGAGAGCCCCGTCCCCACGGGTGCCACGGTCCTCCTTGGCGGGTTCTGCTGCCACCGCAGGGTGAGAGGGAGGCCATGAGGCCTGCGGTCCTTGAACAGGCCGACCGTCCCCGGGCCCAGGTGTGCTGGCACTCTGGGAGGGCACACGAGGAGGAAAGTGTGGAAGGTCTTGGCGCCGACCCGGGAGAGGCGAGGGTCACCAGGCTGGGCCTGGCTACGCACACAGGAACGGCGCAGGTGCACGATGAGATATGTCGGAGAACCGGCCCGCACGCAGCCGGCTCAAATCGAGAAGCAACTGGGGAGTTCCCATTTTACAAATCAGCTTGTGTCTCGGCAGCAGCAGCCGAGAGGGAGAGCGGCACACCTGAGCTCCCAGGACGACTGGTCGACACGCCTGTGGCGGGTGGGACCTGGCCCTTGGGCGTCGCCCCGCACGGCAGCCTGCACGCACGCGGTCGGGCACAGGCCACGTGGAAGACGGCCTGTGTGGCCTCCTCTTTCCATCACAGCCACGGGGCCGGGGTCTGCGCGGTCCCAGATGGTTCTCTCTAGACAAAGAGAGGTGGCAAGAACTGAAGGTGACGCTGGGAAGCCGTCCTGACTGGTTTCAGTCCAGAGAGATGAAAGATGGGTCCTGAGCGGGGAGCTGGCTGCACCGGCCCCTTTCCTGGGAAGATTTTTCAGGGAACAAGGCAAGGTGCCTTGGCTACCACGACAGAGAAACTTTTGGCCCTCTCAGCTCTGGGTGTACCTGAGAATACATGTATCTCCCTTATCTTTGTTTAAAAAATAAGCTAAACTTTCCAGGAAGGTACTTATCATTCCACAGGCTCGCAGAGTTAGCAAGTGCTACAGAAGTAAGGAAATGGGGAAAGCCAGACCGAGAGCTTTAGAACACAACGCTGGGAAGTTCGAGGGAAAATGAAAATGAAATCTCAACAGTAATATTATACTTTTAACATGACGTCAAACCTTAAGGGCTGAGGATTCTTTTTTTTGGACTTTTTTTTTTTTTTAAATAGATGCTTTTTAAATAAATGCTTTTTATCTGCTGCCAAAAGCGGAAATAAATATCCAAAGGAGATGCTTATCAAAGTTTGTTTCTCTACAAATTTCTACCCGAAGTGACTTGGTCCAGTTGTTACGGGCACACTGGGCGTGGTGGCCAAGGAGCTGCCAGAGCAGGGCAGCTGGCTGATGAAGAGAGGGGGCGGGGGTCCTGCCACCCCAGGGTCGTCAGGCTCAGAGACCAGGAGGCCGCCCTCCTCCCCGAGGCAGCTGCCTGGTCATCTGGGTTCACTGGGGTGTCTCCCCCAGGTCCAGCCTGCTCTCTAAGAGGTGCAAAGTGAAACGGGGAATTCAAACGGAGCAAAGGTGCGCGAGAAGAGATGGCAGCCGTGGTTCCTGGGGCTGCGGGGACTGTGGGTGCTCCCGATGTGTCTCTGAGTCCACTGTACTGGGTCCCTGCCAGCAGGCCCACACACACAAAGGGAGGCCACTCGGCGCCCGCTCAGTGCTCGGCGGGGCCTGCGGGCTCCGGGTGTGCGGCCTCCTCGCCTAGCTGTGCGGGGATGCCGGTGAGGGTGCGGAGGCTGTGGGGGTCGACGGGGGGGACGAGGGTCAGCGACTCCACGCTCAGCGTATCGGCAGTGTCCTCACAGAGCAGGGAGATGGTGGGCTGCTGGGCGGGGATGAGGCTGGGGGACAGGTTGACTGTCTCCGCGTCTGCGCTCCTTGCCAGGTTCTTGCTGGGCCTGGCCTCTGCGTCCATGTCATTGACGATCACCAACTGGCTGGGAAGATGAGGCTGAAGCTGTTCCATAGTCACGGGGTCATCTGGGCGGGGGGAGAAAGAACAAGGGTACACTTAGCCCCGGGACACTCTGCTCCCGTCCTGCACAAAGGCCTAGGGATATCTGGGTGGGAGATGGTGGTTCTGGGGGGGATAGCTTGTCTCCACTTCCTCCTTCTGGGGACACAGGAGCTGGTAAATCCAGTCTTCCCTAGGCCTGGGGAGAAATCTGTCAGGGCCCAGGGTTACCCTGACCTGTGATGTGAGAAAACAATTAGGGGCTTGTGCAGAATCAATGGGCAGATTATGGTGCCAGGAAGCGGCCCGGGTGGGCTCCCTGTTAAGGGAGAGTCTTGGACCACTTGCCCAATGAGTAAATACGTGTTTAGGGAGGAAATGGGCTTGGGTGTGCTTATCACTTCAGGCCATTTCCAGAGCCTACATTTGGTAGCATTTACCCAAGGGGGAACTCACTGCGATATTAAAAAACAAAACAAAACAAAATGGCAACAACAAAAAGGAATTCTATGGAACTTTTCAGCTTGCCAAACCAAACCAAAACCTCAGACTGTGGTTTCTCTCTCCTGCTCCTTCCCTGTGAGCTCAGTTAGCACCCAAACAGGGGCCATTCGGATCCTGAGCGTCCCTACGGGGGTCATGGAGAGAAATCACGGCAGCGGGAGGGCAGGGGACGCTCCGCCCGGTGCAGTTTATTTTTGAAGTGGCAATTTCTTTTTTTGGTGCTTTTCAAAATCCTTGATGAGATTACAGACAAATGGCCTATCTGCTTTCCCATGATGAGTTTGCCTGGATAGGAACAGCAGCTGAGACTGGTGCTCACCGTGGAAAACATCCTCCGGGCTTTAAGCGCCGGTAATCTGAAAGCATCGACAAGAAGGCCGAGGGCAGCTTGCTTGGAAAGCAAATACCTTATTTGTACAGATTTTGGGGTTGACCAGGCATCAGCAGAAGGTGCTGATCACAGGGTGTTGAGCCATGAGTCGGAAAGCACTCTGGACCCCGGCAAGGATGGTAGACATGTTTTCTTCGATGTGATTCAAGTTAGGTTCTTTTTTTGTTTTTAAAGTTAAGCCAAAACAAAACAGAACTGCAAACTGAACATACAGCGAGAGAACGGAAAAACCAAAAGCAAAAGAAAACCGAAGGGCATAAAGAATGGGATGCAGGAGAGGAAGAGGATCCCCACCATGGAAAGATAGCACAAGCAACAGATTGAGCTTCCCAGAGAATACGACGGCGTTTCTTCCCCCAAGGCTCCTGGGCAAGACAAGCTCTCAAAGATTCCAGATAATTCCTTCCTAAGGCCTTTTTGTTTTCCTTCCTTTTATTGTTATTATGTATATATCTATTTTTAAAGAGAAATAAGGCCCAGAGAAAACCACTGCACAGGGCTTTGGGTCTGCCCTCGCTCCAGGGGTGGGGTGGCGGTGAGCACTGGTGGAAAATGTGATTCAGGGTGTGAGCTGAGCCCAGAAACGCTGAATAAACACTCCACGAGCATTCTGGTTTCTCTGAATCTCACTGAGTTCGCTCCATTCAGCGAGGACACCCTTGCATGCACAGGCTCACGTTCTGGCCCCAAACGATCTACCTGCTGCTCATCCGAGCGTGTGGGTCTCTGTGCAGGCTCACCTGCTCTGGCTTCTTCCACCTGGCTTCCGGTGAGGGTGGGCATGGCTACGGGCCTACATACCTACAGATCCAACACGTTAAGCTCAGCTGCTCACAAGGCAGTTCCGAAATGACTAATTCTCCAAATGGCACTTTTGTGCCATCTGGAGAGAGAACTGCCAAGCATTTCCTTTATATTCTCTTGAAACTTCTTGTAAGAGTTCCCTCTTGGCTCATTTGCATGCAGATATTCAAAAAAGCTGGCAAATCTCTCCCTGATCCCTAATGGGGTTTTTGGTGATAAGCATAATCAAGGATATGGGAAATTTGCCATCAAATATATTTAAAAACCAACAAACCAACAAACAATATTACACACACACAAAATTCATTTCTTCTTTAAGAAAAGAACCAACAATTTTTATTAAAAGGGTTGGGTTTTTTTTTCCTTTAAAAATAGCCTTTTAAAATTTTTTATAGGATAAAAATAACCTCTTACCCATCACCCACAACCCTTACTTTTTTTTTTTTAAACTAAGAATTGCTTCCTGAATGTGATCTACAAATGTATCCATTCCAAGGGGAATAAAAAAGGAGATCTTTTTCACCAGGGGAAAATTACCCAACGAAGACACATGTTCTGGTCCAGGGCTGAGCCCTTGGTTTTGCCTGTCTGCTGGTGTTTTCGGCTTGAAGGCCACAAATAGGGGCCTGGCCCTGAACATGAGAGATTTGGAGAACATTCTGGTTTCCTGGCCAGGAGCCAGGGAGAAGAGTGGAGGCCTGAGCGGGAAGTCCTGGATGTCCAGGGTTCTGTGAGAGACGCTTGGTCTCCCGAGGATCTACCCGTAGCTGACACCGAGGCAGTGGGTCCCCACGTCCCTGGCCAGCACCTTCCAGAAGCCGATCTCCGGCTTTGGGGCAGGGGCTTGGCTGGCCCTTGCCTGAGTGATGGTTTCCAGGACAACTTTGGGGTTGCTGTGCTCAGGCTGGGAGAGTGGGACTGAGTGTGTGTGTGTGTGTGTGTGTGTGTGTGTTGTGTGTGAAAACTTTGGGGTTGTTGTGCTCAGGCTGGGAGAGTGGGACTGAGTGTGTGTGTGTGTGTGTTGTGTGTAGGGGGGCAGCAGAGCATACTAAGTGTGGTGTGTGTGTGGGGGGGGCAGCAGAGCATAGCAGGGTAGAGGGCAGAGCTCAGAGAAGCAGCTTTTAAATGCAAAAGAAGGCAAAAGGCTCCCGACTGGCAGACTGGCGAGTGGGAGGCTGGCATGGGAAACCCTAAAGGGAAGGTGGGGAAGGTGGTGGGGGAGGTGGGGGGCAGGCAGCAGTGAGGGGCCCTGCACAGGGAGCTGGCGTCTGTGGCCACCTGGAGCACTGCATGTAAGTATGGGGCGGGGG